GAGAAACTGACAGCGAACAGCATGGATCCTGATAAGACTGCGCGGATGCGCAGGCTGGTCTGGATCCAAGCTGGTCGCAAACGCACTATGTTGGTTTTGTCCGTGACATGGCTCATATGTTGTCTTTGGTTAAAAAAGTGACTATTTGCCATATTGTTACGATGCTCAACATGAATAGTTCTCACAAAAAAAAACATTAAGCCTAAGAAATTGTTTTATTTTAATTTACATGTAATTTAATTTCTTAAAAGTTCTTAATATTTCGTCTTCTTCTACAATTTCCAAAAAGTACTCTTTAGTCATTTTTATGAACCATCTAGCTTTTGATTTTTTTTTCTAGCAGTAAGTACAATTAAAGTCAGTTTTTGCACGGTTGTCAAAGTACTGCTTCGTTTACATTTTGTTACTCTTATGATGAATATTTTCATATTTCAGCGCTATTTTCTTCCAGTGATAAACATCCTACATGATCTAAAACCGCTACTTAAAGGTTATAAAACTCGTGTTTACCATTTCCAAAAAAGGAAAATAAAATCATTTCTGAAACATAATGTGCCTTTAAGAGAAATCTACTGAACCATAAAATTTAAATAGCGTTCATATATGACTTACTTAATTAAAGTAGGTGAATATTTTTCTTAATGATATTCAGGTACATGCCTCAGCGCAATAAATTATACAAAAACAACATGTGCACGATTTAACCTGGTTAACTTATATATATACCAGTTCATCTACGAGTTTATTTATTTAAGTTAAAGGAGACATATCTAACTATCTTAAGAATGTTAATGTGGATATATAAATATTGCATGAATAAATTACATGTTTTCTAATGAGTTGAACAACTAACACACAGTTGTAGTTCTCAAGCGACTTGGGGTCTCCTTGTAATTCACCACAATCATCAATATCATAAATTAAAACTATCATAATTATATAGTACCTGTATAAAGATTTAACAAAATGACTCATTCAAAAACATATAAAAAGTATTCATGCATACAATGGTAATATACAAAATTTACAAAATTAACATAATCTCTTATTGAAAAAAAATCCAAAAACAAATATTTGAGTAAATATCCCGCCAGCAGTTTAATATTGTACCACTTACATGCCACTTGTCCTTGTCCGTGTTAGTTTACAAAATTTAGAAAGAACATATTTAAGTTTAAATTCACACATTAATTTAGAGTTTAATGTGCACAGGTTAACATAAATCTATTTCTAATATGCAGAATGAATTAGAAACGGATATAAGAAAAAACAACTTTAAATGGACAGCGAATTTTGACTGTTGACAAATACTGTATACATACAAATACAAGTGAGGTTTTACGCACGCGTAAAATGGCTGCGAAGGAATGGCCATCTATGCACTTTATACCTTTAGAAGAGACTTAGACGAATAACTGTTTAGATCTGCGCAGTTGTTGAAATATAATGGAAGCGTACGACGCGAAACATCCCGTACTAGTATATAGTACTCGTTTTATACTGTGACAGACCGGGTAGAATTCAGTAAATGTCGTAATTGTGCTGGAATCTGACACCATGTGTCTTATTTATATAGACAGTGTTGCTCGTAATGGTTTATCATAATGTCTTAAACATTAATTCATTATATCATATCCCGATTAAACGATATATAAACTTTAAATAAGCAAATAATCAACGATAAAATTTTATATTTGAGAATAAACATAGTATATAAGACATTAAAAGCATCATACTCGTTAGTTACCAAATCAAGCACAAATGTGGCCTCGCTTTACTCTATAAAATGAAGCGGCTATTTAAGGTTTTTGAAACCAGCACTATCCAAATCATCTCAAAAGCAAAATACAAAACTTTAAAAGATTAAATTCTTCAAAACGAACTTGTTTCCTAATTTCTAAAAGTCAACAAATGGATGTATTGAAAACTTCAGATGTTTGCAACAGCTCACCGTTCTATTAATTTAAAATAAATTGTACATTGTTTTCTTTACAATAATACAGTTAGCTTGTCAACTTATCCACATTCTTCAATATTAATGGGATACGTTTACAGTGCGTAAAGTATCCTCCTTTGTAAAGATAATTAATTTTGTTATTGGAAGAATGTTAATCTCGTGTCCGTTTCTGTCGTGTGTTTAGCCAGATTAAAAAATAAACAACAACTGATGTCTAGTTTGTTATTTCTTCATATATATCGTTTAAAGTTTTCATCTGCTGAAGAGATGTAATAAAAATGTCTCTTTGAACGCCTCTCAAGAGGTCACTACATTGTGAAATTGTTATAAAGGTAAACAATATTGCCCGGGAGCTTCAGTATAAGATCTTTATTTATACAGGACACATCAGTACAGGTTTTAACGTTCTGTGTACACTAGTATCAATCACAGTGAATCAGTCTCTCAAAATACGGACACCGTTTTTTGAAGATGAACGTGTTAACATGTTTTGTTCTAGTGCTTAGCTCAGCAGCTGGGCGTAAAATAGTGGATTTAACGCATACGTTTGATGGTGACGCCCCGAAGTACCCACTGGGATTTTTGAGTTCTGACCTAGCAAGTTTTGTTTATTTTAACATGACGACATTGACAGCGCAATATTACGACGATATGTGGTAACGATTTCTTTCTTTATGTAATTGTGTCTCCTAGAAACATTTAATTATTACGATTTATTCTTCTACAATGCTCAAAAGAATATGTTTAATAGCATCGTGCGAAAAAATAGAAAATGAAATGAAAAATTGAAGATAACAATGTTAGCAAATTGGTCTTCATCATTTTACATTAACGCCTGAAAAAAATTATTTAATTGGTATACATGTTCATTGTATTTTTGTCTACGATAATGGGTTTAAATAGAAAGAAGACGGAGAAAGAATGAAATATAAACAAACCATGCATTTCAATATACTAAGTTTTCAGTACCGATTTTTAATTTCGCAAAATTTTCTCATACATTTATAAAAAGGTTAGCACTGAGGAAAATAGAGTTTTACGAACATCAAGGAACCCATATCGACGCACCATTGCATTTTGGTAATGGTCGACAATCTTTAGAGCAGATTCCACCAGAGAGACTATATGGACCTGGTGTTGTGATTGACGTCAGAGACAAGGTCAAGGTCAATCCTGATTATGCTGTTACAGTAGATGATATTTTTGGTGAGATAATTTCATTAACTAAAGTAATCAAAATCGGTGGGATTAAATCGTCTAACTCTTGCACTAAGTTGTTTCTGAATTTTGGTTATATGTCTATGTCTCATAAATAATAATTAAAACACAAACTTGGAAAAAGAACAGTAACAGAACAAACGTCTGAACTGGAGAAATTTATCAATATCTACTAAAACCGTGTATGGAACCTATCTCTGAATGTTCGATATTCAATGTCAAATTATTGTTCTATAACCATGTATTGACATACTGAATAACTGAATGTGTTAAATAAACCCCACAAATCTTTAATGGTCATTTCTTGCGAACCTTTTTGCGGCAGAAGATATAATAATTCAGTCAGGAAGTGTAGCAAATTTTACTGAGCTGCTTCTTAAAACCAAGATGTGAACCCTCCGTACCCTTATAAGTGGCAACGTACTTTTATAACAAAAGTTGTTTTGAATATTATTATAAGGTTACTTAAAATAAGAAAATTAAACATTCTGAATTGAAATAAAAATATCATTATTTTAATCAAAATTTGATCATGAAAAAGGCAAATAAAATATACGAATTTTTATTGTGATTCGTTATTAACAACGAAAAGGGTTGTATGAAGCTACATTTAATTTATTCAATGTTTATCAGTTCAGACAACAATTTAGCAGCATTGGAGGTCCTCCTCCATTCCCTATTATATTTTTCTCTTTTAACAACATGTTGATACTTGATAGCATCAAAACTATAAAAAAAAACTGTATTTTTTACTTCAACAATAACCGTATAGTTTGACGTAAAATACCGAACATACAATTATCAAATGTTTTGTAGCGAGACAAATAGTATATTACTATAAGAGAATTGGGTGAGAATTCACTTTTTTTTGTTAATTGCTCTCATACCATTATTACCTTAATTTATGTTCGATAAATATATCTCTTTTTTTAGACAAAAACAAGTACTATATAAAATTGTTAATAATGGATATTTGATTTCTAATAAACCAGAACATGAAAGAGAACATGGTAAAATACCACCAAATGCAATTGTAAACATGAACTCTGGCTGGGCAAACAAGTACCCGGATGCACGACTAGTGTTCGGTACAGACAACGTTACAGATCCAAGTTCCTTCCACTTTCCTGGCTGGAGTCCAGAAGCTTGCGAGATGCTTTTACAGAAACGACAGGCATGTTTCTAATAATTATTTATTCTCTCGCAATTACGTCTTGCATATATTTTATATAAGTATTCAATACAAGAATATCACATTTATTAATGTGAATTTATTTAGAACAAAAACCGTACAACACAGATAATATATACTTAGATCTTTTTGTCTTTTGATTAAAAATATAAAAAAAAACAATTAAAATATCTTATTTTTTCGGTATTTCTAATTTAGATTAACGTTCTTGGAGTGGACACGCCTTCAACCGACCCAGCTCAGCCCCCGGTATATCCATGCCACATGTACCTCCAACCTAACAATGTCCCATTGATGGAATACGTGGCAAATCTTGATAGTATACCAGTACGTAACACGACCATTGTGCTGGGGGCAATGAAAGTTCGAGACGGTACCGGCGGACCAACCAGAGTGTTTTGCTTTTATTGATGATGAGAAGAAGATGACGACATTACAAATTCTGTAGGGACAATACCTCCATGTGTTTTGCTTAATCTTTATCATGTTTTGTTGTTTGTACATGCAGAAATTAGAAAATTGACATGGGAAAGATACATACATATATCAAATAAATGTTGACTGAATTTAGATTAGTAAATTAAAACTTTAGATTAACGATTATGTCAAAGATATGCAAATAAGAAGAACATTAATTTAGATTCAGTCATGATGAAAGTGCTTTCTCAATGATATCTATAGATGAAAAGTGATATATGAGTTGATATGTATTTACAAAGACAGGAAAGAGTACCTTATGCCTTATTTTTCTCCCGATTTTGTTCATGATAAATACGTTTTTGTTCTTGTGAACGCGATTATACTTTGTGTTCATATTATGTATGATTTGTATAACCTGGGTACCTTATATTACATTGTATATTAAACTGTTATTTCACACCTACTTTGATGTACAAAGGCCCCAATAAACGGTATACATCACTTGTACACAGACCGTTATTCTTTATTATATAAATCATCATGTTTCTCCTCTTTTATAATCTCTAATCCATTTTTGTTTTAAATTTGGAATTTGAACATCAAACTTATCGGGCTCCCCGCTAGTTTTTCAACATTCTCTTTACTCCACCTTACTATATTTACGTTTCAGCTCTTATTATTCTCGAATTTCATTAATTATTTATACACATTATCAAGTGTGTCACTTGTCATCGTAGGAGGTCTGTACAACAAAATAGGGAATTACAAAATAGCACATGTCCTATCCTGTTAATTTGGTATTAAGGGTCACGACTTCAAGAAAAATTAACCTTCACACATTAAAGTTACATTTAATAAATTTAATAAAAACAGAAATAGCATAAGAAACTCTGCCTTCAGATCATCCGTACATCAATATTAAATCATAAGTAGCAGTCCTAATTTAACGGTATATTTCTATGGAGGGCGTTCGTTTTACATTTTCAAAAGTAGTTTTCAAAAGGAACACTTAACATGTCTGGAATTTTGGCAACGAACGCCCTCCATATATTTCCGCATTGTAACGGATGTTTTCATACAAATTTAATCTTTTTTATGAGATGATTACTTTTTACTGAACCTCAGGCCTAGTGCACCGTGAAGTTAAATGGTTAAAATGTGTTTGCACAAGAAAATCTCATATTTGTTGTGTACCGGATAGCAGCTACAACACTGTGACGTAGCGCATACACAAGCTGATTATAAAATCCTTATTAATGAACAATATTTGATGAGATTTACAACAATGCTGTTAAAAGGTTAATGAATCTGTAGAATGCTTGGTTTTTAAGCCGACGGCAAAATATATTTACATATTTATTTAATGTAGCTTTAAGATTTACTTGTACAAATTCTACAGTGAATAAAGGCCTTAAAATCAACTTCCATCGTTTTCACTGTCAACCCCTCTTACGTACGGAATGCCGTTAGGGCCATTGCCTATGAATGTGTTGATCTGAAACGCGATAGTCGATAGTACGATGGTGAAAACGCGAAATCACGAAACTACGATGGTGAAAATGCGAAAGCACGATGATGAAAACGCGAAAGTACGATGATGAAAACGCGACAGTACGATACTACGATGATGAAAGCAAGAATAAACTATCGTGTTTTCACCATCGTACTGTCGCGTTTTCACCATCGTAGTTTCGTGATTTCGCGTTTTCATCATCGTACTGTCGTGTTTTCATCATCGTACTATCGCGTTTTCACCATCGCACTATCGCGTTTTCACCATCGTACTATCGCGTTTTCATCATCGTACTGCCGTGTTTTCATCATCGTACTATCGCGTTTTCACCATCGTACTGTCGTGATTTCATCATCGTACTATCGCGTTTTCATCATCGTACTATCGCGTTTTCACCATCGTAGTTTCGTGATTTCGTGTTTTCACCATCGTACTATCGACTATCGCGTTTTAGATCAACACATTCATAGGCGATGGCCCTAACGGCATTCCGGAATGCCGTTAGGGCCATCGCCTATGAATGGTTTGATCTGAAACGCGATACTCGACAGTACGATGTTGAAAACGCGAAATCACGAAACTACGATGGTGAAAACGCGACAGTACGATGGTGAAAACACGATAGTTTATCGCATTTTCATCATCGTAGTATCATACTGTCGCGATTTCATCATCGTACCATCGCGTTTTCATCATCGTGCTTTCGCGTTTTCACCATCGTAGTTTCGTGATTTCGCGTTTTCACCATCGTACTATCGACTATCGCGTTTTAGATCAACACATTCATAGGCGATGGCCCTAACGGCATTCCGTACTTACGAGTGTTAAAGGCATGGATTAATTGCACGTCGGATTGTTAGTAAAAGGTGAAAAGAAATGCTAAAGAAAGAAAAGTCCAAGCATTATAAACATGCGTGTGATTTCCAAATATAAATCATTATTTGACCCAATCTTGTCAATGTAGCAACGTTTTCATTTTGTCAGTCCAAAATATCCATATCAAATCTCTATTAGCTCCTTCTAGCATCGGTTTTCAAATGACCATTGTATTTCGTGCAACCTCGTTTTCGTTTTCAGGGTCGAAAAAATGATATCAAATAATTGTTTTACTCAGAGAAACAAAGTCCTGTCAAACTATGGTGTTGTGATTTAAACATGTGATTATACATTGTTGAATACGATACTGATCACAGCTACAAAACCTTTATTAGACTCGGCTAATCGGCTAATGAAATTCAGTATTGTACACAACAAGAGATGATAGCATGAGAAAAGTCCAGTTACATGTACATGTATGTAATCTGCACTGAAAATATACACGCTGTATGCTTTATAACATACCAAAGGTCCATTAGACATCGGCATGTAATTATTTTCATTTTTCAAAAGCTTTCCTTTTCTGTGTCCTGTTCCTGTATCCAAAATAAAACTCTTATGCCATGAAGCAGAATCATGTTTTGCTTCTTCTGTTCCATTGCAATTTTAAAGCAATTTCAAAGTTTTAAGCATTTTTTCTAAATCAGTGGAATATAAGGACCTTTTTAGATCTTTTATTGTGCATTATTGTAATACACCAGTCATTTGTAACCACCTCCCTTGCCCCCGGGGGAGTGCAGGTTAAAAAAGAATCGTGTTTTGATGTTTGTGCTGTTCCGGGGCATAAGGCAAGAATGTAATTATCTGAGTATCCCCCGCCGGGCGAAGATTTTACCAGTGGTCGGCTTGGTTTAAAGTCAATGCCACCCCCCCCCCCCCCGCTATTCTCAGAGGATGGGGTTGAGTGGCGCATATTCATGGAATAATAACTGATCACCAATCAACAGCGCTTTCCAAATAGACATATAATAACAAAAAAAAAAACAATAATTATATAAAATACATATAATTTTTTAAAAAATGGGCCGAAAAGGGTCGGCCGAAACCAGACTTGCCCGGCCGAAAACGACTGGGCCGATTCCAAAAATGGGCCGAAATGTGACCAAACCACTGTGCTAGATTTTATACTCAACTATAGGCTGTTATGAGATGTTAAGGCTGTTTTGATTGGCTAAAATAAAAACAAAAATAAAATATGTACGAAAAACTAAAATAAGATTGAATGCAAAACTAAAAAAAATATGTATGCAAAAACTGAACAAAAATATGTATGCAAAACTAAAATAAAATATGTATGCAAAAAAATGCAAATGTCACTTTTATGCCACCGTAATTTTGTTGTATGAACACAATTTTTAGATAAATTAATCACTACAGATGGCAAATACTGTAGAAAATGGCAAAAAGTCCATACACTTACCGGAAGTCAAGATGACTTAAGCATCATAAAGTATTGACCACCATCTTGAACTCCACCTCAAATATTTTTATGTCGCAGATCGAAAATAAGTCAGTACTCAGTATTTAAGCAGAACTCAGATGACATCTTTAGAGTTCTGGAACACAAAGTGCGTTGATATGTAGCATATTAACGCACTTTGGGGTCAATTTCTCGATTTTGACCCCAAAGTGCGTTATACCCCAAAGTGCAATGCGAAGTTTAACGCACTTTGGGGTCAGACCCCAAAGTGCGTTTGACCCCAAAGTGCGGTGTTACAAGGCTCTAGCTAAGACCATTTTATGCAGCATCCTGAAATCAGCAAACATGTAAATTTTATATTATAATGTGAAAAGAATATATTTTAAGACAAGAAAGATATCCAGTAGTTGAAATATTTATATATAACATTGAAATATTTATACTTAATATTGTTAAGAAATTCAAATATATATATTAATAAGAATTAATGTCAATTTAACAAACCTGACAGTCCTTTCCATCATCCATGTTGAATGTATGGTATACAGGCTACAGCTGCAATACTCTAAATTTCAGCCAGGACCAGGATCTATAATATTATATAGTACTAGTATATAATAAAATATATTTATTATTCCCTATAAGTTTACGACAATTAAACTTTAAGTTTAACACTCAACTTTGTTATTTTACTTCATAATAATGTATTTTTCAAACACTGTATTATACCATCACAAAAATACAAACATAGTTATATTGACGAAACGTCATTTAATGTTGAAAGAGGTGTTTATCCTAAAAGTTTTTCTTTTTCTCTTTTGTGTGAAAGCAAAGTTTTGAAATACTTAAATTCACTAAGTGCTAGCAAAGCTACTGGCTTAGGTGGTATACCTTCCCGTTTGTCAGGGATGGGTCACCTATAATTGCAGGTCCTATAACCCACATTGTCAACTTGTCTCTTATCCAAGGTGTAGTTCCTGATGATCTTAAGACTGATAGAGTTGTCCTCCTTTTTAAAAAAGAATGATAAACTTTCTGTTGGTTACTACAGGCCTGTGTCAATTTTAAATGTAGTCTCCAAGATACTTGAAAAGGTAGTTTATGACCAAGTTGAAACATATTTTAAAGAGTATAAGCTGTTGTATAAATTCCAATCTGGTTTAAGAAATGGTTTCTCCACTGATAATTGTCTCATTTACATGACAGACTACATTAGGCATGAAATTGATAAGGGTAATGTGGTAGGTATGGCTCTGTTAGACTTACAGAAAGCCTTTGACACTGTTGACCATACCATTTTCTTAATGAAGCTTCAAACGTCTGGTCTTGGTGATGACATCATAAGGTGGTTTAGGTCATATTTTTCTGAGAGACAACAGCTTGTTGATGTGTCAGGTAGTTTTTCTTCTACTTCAAGTATAACATGTGGTGTTCCCCCAGGGTTCAATCCTTGGGCCCCTCCTCTTTTTAATGACGTCAATGACATGTCAGCCGTAGTGAAAAATAGACTATTGTTATATGCTGATGACTCTGGAATACATGTTTCTGGAAAAAGTTTATCTGAGGTGGAAATTTCTGTATCTGAAGATTTGTCCTCAGTAAGTCAATGGTTAATTGATGATAAGTTATCGTTGCACTTAGGTAAAACTGAGTCCATTGTGTTTGGATCTAAACAAAAACTTTGGTCGGATTCCAAATAAAACATAAATTGTAACGGCACTGCAATATGTCATGTTTTTTAAGGTCAAAAACCAAATGGCCGCAGAGTACTTAAGTGATTGTTTTGTTTCTCAGGAATCTATGCATTCTCATTGCACCAGACTGGGTAAAAAGTAGGGTATTGTCTTCCTAAGGTTAAAGGTTCTGGGTCAAAGTTTGTTTTAGTTTTATTGGTGCTAAACTATGGAACAGTCTTTCAACTTGTTTAACTGAAATTAACAAAATTCATCGTTTTAAGGTAGCCATTAAAAGTCACTTTTTAAGTAGCATGTAAGTGTTTTTCTTAACATTTCTTGCAAGAAAATTTTATATGTTTTCATTTTTTTACTGAGTTATTTTTCGGCTCAGGTTTACTGTTTCATTTTTTGAAATATGTTTTAAATTCTTTTTGTTAAGACTTAAAAACTGTCTCCTTTTTGAATAGTGTAATCTATGGCATTTTCTTTCCGTACATACTCATAACTGTATGTTCATATTTTAGTTACTCTAAATACACTATGGTCTGTTTTTTATATTTCTTCTGACTTATATCTTTTTCCAACACTTCTTGCCATCGCGCAATCGAACAGAACCTCTACCTATAACGGAAGCTCTTCTAAAGTATCAATCGAACAGGCCATAAGTGTTAAAATGACCAAAGTAAATTCTGCCTATATTAATTACTTTACTGTTAATTTTAGCGGACGTCAAGGAGAAATTAGACGGCCTTCGGTTGAAAAAGATAAGATTTGAAAAAGGACATCAATAACTTCGCATAAGGCCTACCGAATCCAAAACATTAACAGACGCTTAGGGGTCAGATCCTGCCCCCTCCCACGTGATACGCCCCTATAAACACTCGATCAAAAATATAAATATTTAAACACGAATTGGACATCTGTTACAACGTTAAAACTGGTTTTCAAACATTTTTTACAAATATGAAAAAAATTGTATACCATCAAGTCTCAATAAAGTATACCGTATTTTTTCATATAGTATGTTCACCAGTTTCGACGAACTTTTTTTATTATGCGGTCAAACTAAATATAATACCAGATTTAAGAAAATATCATGGTTCATTTAGTATGATATAAGTCTGAACTTGAAAGTAAAAAAAAGTTATTTAACTTATTTCGCCGCCAAGCTTCTTTTCATGGGTCAAATTTCACCAGTTCCGAAGCACTTTCACCGGCTACGGCGGATATCGTTTTTTATTACTCTTCCGTGAGAATACGTAAAGAGGCCCTTCACGGAAAACTTCTAGTGTCACAGTCATACTGCTACACTCCACAAAAAGTAATAAAATCATATAATTTTCATCATAATTCATATTAAAATTGAAAACAGCGTCATAAAAGGATACCACCATTTCAAGATAAGGCCTCTTGGTATCTGAGGTTGTCTGGTGTTGCAGGCTTGCCCATAGGCCATAATCCAAGAGGACTTGCATGTGCGTTTCGAAAAATATTAGAATCAGATGGGACAATCACCGCCACAGCCACTGGAGAGCCTTGCCCAAGCTTCTCTCCACGGCCAGCACCAGATGCAACTGGAGAAGGTGCAGTCATACCATGTGACTATTAAATTCATACTAATGAACAAAAATATTTTGAGTTATTAACAGATGCCCAAATTTTATGCCTGAGAAGGAGGCAATGAACACCAATTTGATAAATAACAATTAAGAAATGCTCACAAAGGATGTTCTTATTTTGAAATACAAAAGGTCGTACATTTCAATTTTATTGTTCTGGTAAATAATTGTGTTTCATTTGTTAAATATCATCAGTATATAGCAAGTAAATGCATATATAGAGAGATAAACCACAAAATTTTACAATTACATATTATGTATGTAAAGAATTTTCAAAACTATAGCAAAATGTCTGTTATACAAGACAATCAAACGTTATGTAGTGCCAATTATGGTATGACTCTAAAAATTGCAAAATTCCTGCATTCATTACGTAACACAAATATGGTACAAAAATTCTTCAGTTTCTAATGTCAAAGCAGCATGCTCAAAATTATGATCTTTCGGTATGCATGACATATGTATCAAACTATCACAAATATCACATTTGACTCAACCATCTGGATCCTCTGTAAGTTTTTTACCAACCAAACAGTGATCTGATTTAGAACCTGCAGTGAAGAATAAAGCCTTCTTTGCTTAAACCCAACTTACACAAGATTTTCTACTACGAGGTTGAGCTGCAGATTTACCTTTACTTTTAACTGCAGCAGATTTACCTTTACTTTTATTCTTAAGCAACCTTTTTCTTTTTCCTGAGATTTAACTGTGCCTTTCATGTATCTTTTTCAGCTGACAGTTCTTTTCTAGCAAATTGTCTAGTAGCATGAAGTTGTTTTAAAACAAATGTTCCTATACTCTCTGCTGAAGTTACGCAATCGGGCAAAGTGTTAAAATTTGATACTCTTTTGTTACATAACTACATGATGGGAATACTAGTGCTTCCATAACAGATGATAAAATTATTTCACCAACTCCTAAACCACACTGTGTTGTAAGAGGTGTACTATTAGTATTAGTACTGGCAGAATTTACATGACTACTAACATCAGAACTGGGGGAATTCACATTACTACTTAAATCAGAACTGTCAGAATTTACATTACAAGTACTCACACTGTGAGGTAAAGATATAGTGTTAGACAAATTGAAAGCAACATCAACAAGCAGAGATAATGGAGACTGTAGTTCTGTTGCATTTAACAAACGAGTACCAGATATATCTTCTGACAAAGGGTTGGGTGTTACATTAACAAAACATTAACAAAACTAGTACCTGGTAAAGCTGACTCAGGGGTGGCATGACTAGTAGTAGCAACTGTTAAAAGGGACATAATTATTTTCTGCTGACATAGAATGGGTGTAACATTTATATAGCTGGTACCTGGTAAAACTGATACAGGGTTGGCTGGAGAAGTAACTGGTGTTACACTAAAAGCGGACATAGGATTGTGACCACATGACTAGTCAATGAATTGTTATTGCAATCAAACGGAGCATGCTCTTTATTAAGATGATGGTGACTGAAAAGTCATTGCAGGCTTAAGGTGACTTTCAGAGATTTTTGTCCGGTCAATGGGAAAAATACTCGTTGACTTAAAACTATTAACCACAGTAAGAGGTTAATAAAAATTTAAAAACGCTCTCTAAGTTTGCTGCATAATTTTCCTTCTCTATGCTCTTATCTGGGTTTTCTTTTGTTTCGTATTTCTCCTAACAATTTTGTACCAGTCTTTTTTCAACGGCCCAAATACACCTAAGGGTTGTAGGAAGTGAGTTGAATTTGGTTCAAGTCTGTATAGTTCTATCCTTTATTCTCTGGCGAAGGTTAAAACATCAAATCAATGTGACTGCTTACACTATCGATGAGTAAAATTACTGGTCTGTTTGAACATGCATAGTTATCAAAATGGTGGAGGAACTTGAAGAATGTCTTGGCATTCATCCATCCTTTGACAGTGTACTCTATGACTGCATCTTTCCTGCTGTTAATTAAAGGGTCATATGCTTAAGGCTTAGGACAAGGGTATACCAAAAATGGTGGGATATTACCCTCAGCATTACCACAGAACATGGCAGTCAACTTCTTCTAACTGTTGCCACTCAAATGTGGCAAGTTTCTAGGGTATTCTGGCTTTGTTGGCCAAATCACAGATCCAGCCTTACGCCCCATAGAAAAACCTGACTAATTATCAAGTTATGTAGACGTAACTTTAGCCCTTAAACTCTCCAAAGATGATTCCTTTTCTTATTTCCACTAAATGAGCATTCCGTGCCATAAAACTGTAATACCATGTTTAACTTGGACGACCATTTTTAAAGTTATTCTTGCGTTTGTTTTTCTTTAAAATACCACAAACAAATTCTAATAACACCTAAACCCATCCCTCTTCTAGACATTTCAGCCAACCACTTGGCCATTTCTCTTCCTCTTTTGTACTAAAAACAGGCCTTGGGCCATTTCTATTTTCTAGCGAAACATCCCATGCGATCCTACGCCTCAAAAAACTTTAAGGTACCTTATTTTTTGGCAGCTTTCAGAATTGACATCCCATTTAAAACCTCTTTCATGGCAAACTTTACTCTTTCTATTTTACCAGGTGATTTCCTAAAACCTCTCTTGTATTTTAAAGTTATTTGGTTTGCTTTACTCTGGACTGGACTGGCAATATTGGCATTTTTCCTTGATGCTTTGCAAGGTGTCCTGCAAGATGCTAAGTCACTGGTCTCCTGTATTCTGGCCATTACTCCTGTGAGAAAGACACATATTTCAGTTTAAACATTTCTGCATAGGACAAGCAACATCAAATGTTATTATCTTAGATCCATGTTCAGTATGTTTTTGTTATTTCACATTTTAACTGGAAAAACAACTAAATACAATGACTAGATGTATTTTCATCATCATCATCATGTAATATATTAACACAATTATTTGATGTCACACCACCTTTAAATTAGCCAAATCATGCTTAAAGAGTTGTGATGGACATGGTATATACTTCATATTGCATGGAGAAACAATCCGTAAAAGCAAAATATTACTTCGTAATTACGAAAGATTATTTCGTTATTACGAAATAATATTTTGTAAAAACGAATTCATATTGCGTAATTACGAATCAATATTTCGTTTTTACAAAATAAACCCTGTGCTTAAGCGGAATATGCATAATAGCCTCTTTCTTGTCGGCTCAATGACGTGATACCTTGCATTTACTTGCATTTACTATTTTTTAGTTAGTGTCTTTATGATCGCATGGTACTAATATATAAATTTAAAGGAAATATATTTTAAGTGAAAACTTGGAAGCCATCCCCTTGAAGTTTTTCTAATGTGTATGATAAAAGAAAGTAATAATATAGTCATTTATTTTTTAAAGAAACATGTCAAAAAGATAAATTGTCTTAGAAATTAAAACATTTTGATATTTTGCCAGCTGTTTGTAATATATTTTGGGAAAG